TTGAGCTAACCAAACATTTTTGTTAAGCCAACAAAAAATACTCAACCAAATTTTTTTGGGTTAACTCAAACAAATACTTTGGTTGCTTAAATACCAATAAAATTTTTTTGTTGGCTCAACCAAATTTTTTTGTTAGCCCAACCAAATTTTGGTTGCTCTGACTAAACATTTTTCTCAGTGTATACTAAACATTTTTAAAACCAAATAATTGAATTCTACTATAGATAATTGAACCAATAATTTCTGTATTTGCGACAAATACGATTTAATTGATTAAAAAATTATTTGGTACAAGAAAATATTTATTTGAATCAAATAAATTATTTTTTTTTAATATTTGGAGGCAATTAAAAAAATTCTGTAAATAGAAGAAATTTTTTTTTTCGACATAAAGAACAAAAGATGATGAGTTTTCTTATCTCTTAAAAAAATATTCGCGGTTATATCCGGTGAAAAAAGAAAAAAAGAATATATGAAGGCATCAGTAACCCTCTCATGAGAGTTGGAGAAAACGTGACGTTTAGAAATTGCGGTAACGTCAGAATTAAATTTTTCCACGTAACTGTCAGCTTTCAAGAAAGGTTGAACATGCAATTTTTTATCCCCCGGGAACAGTGATTGCTGTAAAATGTAGACACTTATGAAAAGCATCCGAGTGAAAAGGGCGCTTCTGGTTGAGTAGACATGCACTTTTTTCCTGAGGTCACCCGGTTCAATGGAAAATGTTGCAATATATATATATATATGTATATGATGTATAGGATCTTATAACCAACAGGAAGTTTGCCTCTCAAACTCGAGAAGAGAAGAGGGGAATCGTTACAGGAACTTCGATATATATACGATCAATCAAAAACAAGATGGAGTATCTTCTTTTTGAAATCGAATATCGTCTTTATTATTTTCCTCGATGTTAGATACTTGATTTCTTACAGCAAATTGAGAAGTAATATTTTTATTGTTTTTCAAAGTTAGAATTATATTGTTTTATAAAAATTATTTTTTTTTTTTTTTGAAAATTTAATTTTCCAATTTCAAAAATTATTTGGTTCAAGTAAATAGTTATTTGAATTTTTCTTCAATATACTTAAAGTAACTATATTTTATTTATGACAAATAAAATTTATTTAAAGCAAATAATAATATATTTTATCCACAGAGGCTAATAAATTTATATTTGTTTAAAAAAAAAAAATAGCAGAAATAAAATTTTATTTATTTTCATTTGAATATTATTTTCTCAGTAATAAGATTCTTGTATTTTATATACAATTTCTTTTTGTCTGACGAATATCTTAAATTTCATTTTAGAAATTTAAATTTAAATTGAAGTGTTTTAAGTACATTTCAATTGTGATTAAGTTAAATTACTTCTTAATTGAAATATCTTTCTTAAAGTCGCATTTTAATATAATAAAATACAAAACAAGACTAAAAGTGCAAGTAGTAAGAGAAAAATTTATAAGAAGCAATTTCTTTTCAATATTATATACAATACAAAAGAATAATAATTTTCCATTTCTTTGCAAAGAAATTAAATCTCTCGTGGTTTTTATTTTTTTTTTAAATTCAACTTTATGTAATTGTTTTCTTTTATTATAATTTTATTCATTTTTTAAATTTATATAGGAATTATTATTTTTTTTTTAAATAAAAAATATTTTTTTCAAATACAAAAATTATTATTGCTCTAAATAATTATTTGGTTTCAAAAATTAAATATTTATTTGATAATAGTCAAGTAAACGATTATTTGAATTAAATAAATTTTTTTTCAATGTATATGATAAAAATTAGTTATACTTTAATATTTAATGAAAAAATTTTTTTAAAACAAATATAAAAAATAAAGGGGGAAAAAAAATAAAAAATGTAATCTAATTATTTAGATGAGAAAAATAAAATATATTTGTCTAGGGGAAAAATAGTTTCAAATAAAAATTTTCTACTAGATTGATGCTGATTTAGGAAGCCATAGTAGAAAATGTACTCAATTAATGGGGGAGTCATCTGCCAAAAAGAAGGGAGAGCAGATGTTGTATTATATACAGAATACTTGGAAAAATTTTAGTAATGTCAATTGATGGACCACAATCAATCTTTTCAGTAAAGTTCTCAATATAATATATATTTAATTACATATATTAATCCACTTTTTGTTAAAATAAAACCGAAAATAATTTAATATTGATTCGAAATTCTAAAAAAAATATAGTTGAAAGAATTTTTTTATTTACGAATCTTTAGGAAACTTTCAATTTAAGAATTTTTTAATTTAAAAATCTTTTTATTCAAGAATTGCTCCTTCTTTTTGGAATTATTTCTTATTCATAGCAATACAAATATTTTAACGTTCCTTATTAATAAAACGTTATGCATATTTCTAAAAGATAGAATATTTTTGATTAAACTTGCAGAAGTTATACTAATTATAAGTTAATTTAACAAGGATCTTAATTATAATATTATCTCTCTCTCTCTTTCTTTCTTTTGTGAAAAAGTAAAGCTTCACCAAAGAGGTGTGTTTTTATGTGCAGAAAAGCAAGAGGTATTTGATTAAAAAAATTTTAATTCCTAATTTAATTTGCATAACATTGGAAAAACTTTTGACCAAATGCAGATTAGAGAGATGCTGAGTATACGGCCCTGAAATGGTAAGGAGATTGTGGAGGAGGATATATAGAAAAAAGAGAGGAACTCTTGAGTCCGTTACCCCTCACAGAAAATGGCGAGGGAAGAGAGGCAAAAGAGTGGTTTTTCAAGAGAGATGAAGAAGAGAAACAGAGAAAGTAAAATAAAAAGAAGGGATAGAAAACAGGGTGGGGTCTCAAAGTGGAAGATAGTGAGGTCTGAGTGGATGATTAATGCCAGACAAACTTAACTAACCGCTTCGCTTCGCTGACGTGCACACACACACACATATATATATATAATGCAGCAGGTTGTTCTGAAATTACAGATTTTAGCAAAAGCCTTTTCTCCCTTTATCACACTCGACAATTGGATTATCGCATTATCATCTCAGGACTAAAAAAAGAAAATCCAACTTCGATTTTTTTCCACTCTTATTCAAAAATTTAAAAAAAAGATATACATTTCTGTAAAGGACATAAAAATATAGTAAAAATTCTACAGCAAATATTTCTTTAATACTTTTTTTTGTATTATTATTTTTCTCACTGTATTTAAGGGAGGGGAATGCAAATTCTACTCAAATCGCAAATTAGAGTGTACACTTGTGTTGAGTTATTCTGAAATATTTTGAAGTGTTCTAGACTCTAAAAAGTATGTACGAAGTACACCTCGAAAGTATGAAGTAACTTTTAATAATCCGAAGTATTTTAAAAGAATCTTTAAAAAATACTCGTGTATGTTTTGAAGGGTATGAAGCCCCCTAAAGTAGTTTTAAAAACATCTTGATGATACCCAATTTTGAAACAAAGCCTGATCATTAACCAGATTTTTGTTATTTTGATTAAAATTTTGGACTAATTTTAAAAAATTAGTGTATACACATTTTTGGATTAAGATTTTAGATATATAGAATTAATTCCAAATTGTGGCAAATTGATTACGGATTTTTCACATCTTTCTAAAATCATTTTAGATTATGTGACTTAATACGTATACAGAACTTAATACATTAATGACTAATTGCAGATTGTTGCTGCAACTATCCAAACAGTTGGGTATTTTAACCCAGGTGAAAAAATTAACGTTACTAATGTTACTAATCTAACTAACGTTACTAACGTTAGTACCTATAAAAAAATTAAGAGTTTCTAAAATATATTTTCACGGAAACTTTGCCACTACTTTCCCATTTCTACTTTTACTTTTTCTAATTCTCATTCGTCATTCCATTCTCACTTCTACTCTTTCTAATTCTCATTCCCACTTCACTTCCACTTTTCTAATTTTCATTCCCATTTCCACTTCCACTTTTTTATATTCATTGCCACTACCATTTTTTCTAATTCTCATTCCCACTTTCACTTCCACTTCCACTTCCACTTCCACTTCCACTTGTTCCAATTTTCACTCCCATTTCATCTTCCACTTTTTTATTTTCATTACAACTTTTTTATATTTTCACTCCCACTTCCATTCCTATTTTTTAAATTTCCATTATCACTTGCACTTTTTCTAATTTCCATCCATTGTAATTAAAAAAATGGAAATGGTTGTGTAAATGGAAACTAGAAAGAGTTTTAGTCGAAATGGCAACAGCTAATGAAAATTAGAAGTGGAAAAAATGGGAGTAGAAGTGGGAATAAAAATTAGAAAAAGTGGAAGTGGAAGTGGTAATGAAAATAAAAAAGTGAAAGTGGAAATGAGAATTAGAAAGTGTGGAAGTGGGAATGGAAGTGCGAATGAGAATTAGAAAAAGTGAAAGTGGAAACGGTAATGAAAATAAAAAAGTGGAAGTGATAATAGAAATGAAAATTATAAAAAGTGCGGATAAGAACATTAAATACTTCCTGGTGGTCGATTACGTTAGTAATGTTAATTTTTCTACCTGGAAATTAACTGCTGCTTTTGTATTTTTTCTAACTCTTTACAGATTTGTTTGTCTAAAATCCGAGTTTTTGCGAATACCGCAAATCTTTTCCGAACAGATTTTGGATTATTCTAAATTTGTTTCGAACAGTACTTTTATTTTTTAACAGTACTAAATCTGTAGCATATACTGTTTGCAGATTGCCTATATATATACATACAAACCGACTAATTTCGGATTTAATTTTATCAAACAGAAATTCTAATAATAGATTTTTATTTAATCTTTCAATTAATATTTCAATCGAAAAATATTTTAATGACACTAATTAACAAATATTAAATGTTGTAACAATATAATAATGATAATATTAACAATATAATGCCTCTATTAATGTTCTTTTTTGTGAATAATTAAAAAAAACTCATTATATCCACCTTTGGAATATATATCATGAGAAATAATTGACGCAGTCATTAAATCATTATCCGTATATCTTTATAAGTCTATTAAGTGTTTTCGCAAGCATATAGAAAAAATGCTATCAGAAAAAGAAATGAAATATAATTTTGATTATGCCGTACATCTAAATCGTTGGAGTATGCAATTATGTGGAATGTGGCCAATTGAAGATCGTTTTTCAAAATTACGATTCTTTATTACGCTAATAATTATGTTATGCATCACCGTACCAGTAATGATAAAATGTTTTCTTTTAAAAAATTTTTTTCAAGAAGTTGAAATTATTTTCATTTGTATTAATTTGATATCAACAATTATTAAAGTACTATTCATGGGAATTTCAAAACCAAAACTTGTTCCTCTTATACAGGATATGATTGGAGATTGGAAATACACACAATTATTGTCAAAAGAAGCAAAAAGTGTAATGATAATTAATTCAAAACGTGCGAGATTTTTTAATGCCTTATGTATAGCTTTATTGTTTGCTCCTTTTTTGCGTAAGTAATTTATTTTTTAAAAAGGAAAATTCATTTTTGAAGAATTAACTAATTGAATTTTTTTTTAGTTTTTATAACTAGGCCAATAATTTTAAATTGGGGAGGTGAATTTACAAAAAAATCTTTACCATGCCAAGCTTATTATCCTTTTGATGTTGAAAAATCACCAAATTATGAATTAGTTTACTTGTGGCAAATATTATTGATAGCCTACACTGCTATTGCGGCAATGGGAATAAATACTTTTATAACTTTAATAGTTTTTCATTTATGTGGACAATTACAAGTAGTGGCATTGAATATAAAAGATATTATGAATCCAAGAAATGTTTGTCATTACAGATCAATGATTCATCAAGAGTGTAAATGCTTACACTATATCGTTGAACGACACCTAAAATTAATCAGGTATTATTTAAAAAAAAAAAAATAAATAACTAAGGGAAGACATTAATAATAATAATAATACATTTTGTTTCATAGTGACTCAAAAATTCTTGAAAATTCATTCAACATTATGTTCTTAATGGAAGTTATAATCACTGTTATAAGTTTATGTTTTGTGAGTTTTGCAGTTCTTGTGGTAAATATTTAATATAACTAAATATAAAAAAAAAAATAGCAAAAAATAATTGTTTTATTTTGAGGTTTCACCCGCTGGAGATATTTATGGGACATTCATTAATATTGCCTACTTTTTTGCTCCAACGATTTTAATTTTTCTATATAATTATATTGGCGAAAATGTAATTGATCGAGTGAGTATAATTATTTTTACTAGTTTAAAAAAAAGAAATTATAATACAAAAAAAAGCTTTCTAATATAAAAAAAGAGTCTGGATATAGGTGATGAAGTTTATAATATAAATTGGTACGATTGTAATCCAAAATTTATTCAATCATTGATGTTGATTATTATACGTTCACAAAAACCATTGAAACTCACGGCAGGAAAATTTTTTCCCTTATCACTTCATGCATTTAAAAAAGTAAGATAAATTTTTTTCATAATAATTAATTAATTGTAATTAAATAATTCTGCTCTAATTGCGCTTTTTTTAACATACAGATTTTGATTTCGGCCTTGTCGTATGCAACTGTTCTTTTAGCATCAAGTCGGCGTCATTAATTTTTTAATGTTTATATTTTTCAATAACAAGTTTCGGATTATGAAAATAATATTTATTCAACAGTATAAATATTGTTATTTAATAAAATAGAGAAATAAAATTTGAACAATTTTGCAACACTTAAACATTTTTTTTTTCTATTTTGAATTTTCCCTCTTAAAGTAGCTATTTCCATATTAGCGATCGTTTCCATAGCAACCGTTTCCATAGCAACCGTTTCCATGGCAACCGTAACCAAGACAACCGTTTCCATGGCAACCGTAACCATGACAACCGTTTCCATAGCAACAGTTACCATGACAACAGTTTCTATAGCAACCATTTCCATAGCAACCGTTTCCATAGCAACCGTTTCCATAACAACCGTTACCATAATAACAGTTTCCATAGCAACCATTTCTATAGCAACCGTTACCATACCAACTGTTTCCATAGCAACTGTTACCATAGCAACCGTTACCATACCAACTGTTTCCATGACAACAGTTATCATAGCAACCGCTTCCATAGCAACTGTTACCATAGCAACCGTTACCATACCAACTGTTTTCATAGCAACCGTAACTATACCAACCGTTACTATAACAACAGTTTCCATAGCAACCGTTTCCATAGCAACTGTTACCATAGCAACCGTTAACATACCAACTGTTTCCATAGCAACCGTAACTATACCAACCGTTACTATAACAACAGTTTCCATAGTAACCGTTTCCATAGCAACTGTTACCATAGCAACCGTTACCATACCAACTGTTTCCATGACAACAGTTACCATAGCAACCATTACCATAACAACAGTTTCCATAGCAACCGTTTCCATAGCAACCGTTACCATACCAACTGTTTCCATGAAAACTGTTTCCATAGCAACCGTTTCCATAGCAACTGTTACCATACCGTTTCCATAGTAACCGTTACCATACCGTTTCCATAGTAACCGTTACCATACCAACTGTTTCCATAGCAACCGTTACCATACGAACTTTTTCCATGAAAAGTGTTTCCATAGCAACCGTTACCATACCAACTGTTTCCATGACATCAGTTACTATAGCAACCGTTTCCATAGTAACCGTTACCATATTTCACTGCAAATCAGTGGAATTTCACTAATTCATATTTAAAGACAGATTAATAAATCGGAAAATTTTCTTAACACTCCGAAAGTTGTTATTTCAAAGCCATAAAAATTAAATACATATTATAATGTATAGGAGAAAGTTTCCACGCAAGATTAGTTGCAAATTATAGCAAAGTAAACATGTGACACGTTTATTAAATAATTTAAAGTGCGCGTAATTACAATATTCAGTTTTCTAAAGGTAGACTTAATGAGAAATGTATATATAAAGAAGACACCTAATGATAAAGTTAATTGTAAATGATAGTCTATTATGAGATGAAACATGATTAAGTATACATAAACATGATTCAAAAAAAAAAAAAAAAAAAAAAGATTGGATGATGTAAGAGGGGAAAAAAAAGCTCGAAGCTATTAATTTGTCGTTTAGCTATATATATATATATATGCAAGGGGGAGTTTTCAAATGAGTTCGAAGTCATCAATATCCAGAATGACAGTATAAAAAAAGGCTCCGATGTCGCGAACTCAAACTTAATATTCCACATTGGAAACGATAATCTTGTTGGGTCGTGCCTATAGTAACGTGAGAAACGAGTAAAAGGCATTCTGGATGCTATATGCCTCGAGGCATATCCAAGTCAAGAGTTGACTTTATACTCATGCACTATAGTGCTATACAACCGGATGCTGCGAAACTTCATTTACCGCGAATTCTTTAATATAAACCTTAATGGACAAACAATGAGCAAGATTTAAATAGAAAAAAAAAAATTCTAAATTCATATTGTTAATCTTATACATAATCTCTCCTCTATCTATTAAATTAAATATTCCCAAAGTAATTACATTTGTTCTTATATATATATGTTATCAAACATTATGCGTGGGAAACTATGAAAAATATACTATATTACGATTTATCGTTTCAAGTTTATTCAACTTTTGAATTTTAAATAAAAATTCTTTCGTCATATTGGATCAGACATTTTGAATTTTAAAAATGTTACTTCGAAATCACTAACCCTGAAATATTGCCTCAATTTTATGCGTATAACTTTATGTCACAAATAGTAACATAATTTTATTGCATTTATAACAATATTAAATTCTTCCACAGAAAATTATAAGGTATTAAAATAAGTTTTTTATTTTAATCCAATTTTGCTTATTTTAATATCAAAATGGATTAAAATAAGCAAAATTGAATTAAAATTTTAATGCCTTTTAATTTTCTGTATCACTACTGTTAATTTCAGTATCGAAATTTCTATTAAAACCATTATTACATATATATCAGTAAATCTCATCTAATCTTAGAATCATTTTCCCATGGAATATAACATTTGTTCTTAACGTATATCTCTTATCCAAAAAAAAAACCCATATACTTGTGGGAAATGCCTTTTAATTGAAGACATTTCAATTTAATCCTTTTGTATAGTTCAAGAATTTGATATTTAGCAATATAACAAATGTCTGAATAGAAATTGATTAAGAATATTTTTTACCATGTCTATTTACAATTGATATTTCAATTTTCTAATTAAGCTCACGTATTTGATATCGTAGACTTAAAAAAAAAACGACAATATAGTCTCTCTCTCTCCCTCTCTCTCTCGATATTGGTGATTTGAATTTTCAATCTCGAGAAATGAAATGTAAAAGGTGAAAAGCTTTCTAACAAGAACTTATTAAATGCGTTCGATCGCAGCACTTTGCAAAGAAACTGCAATCAAAAAAAAAAAAAAAAGAAAATGTTGAAAGAGAATAAAAATTCCACTTGGGTCGAGTTATCGCGAGGCGTCGAACTCGAATGTGTACAAGAAGTAAAAAATCACTTTGGAAATATATTTATATAGCCAATAAAAAAAAAATAATTTATAAGTAACCGTTGCTAAGAACGTGAAAAAAAGTTGCTATAGAAATGGTTGCTATGGAAACTGTTGTTATGGTAACGGTTGCTATGGTAACAGTTGCTATGGTAATAGTTACTATGGTAACTGTTGTCATGGAAACAGTTGATATGGTAACGGTTGCTATGGAAACGGTCGCTACACAGAAAAAAACTGAACTCAGAATGAACCATGTAGAAGGCTCATTTTGATGTGCAACAAAAATGAACCAGGTTGGTGGCGCCACTGTCTATGTTCGGAATACCACCAAAGTATTAACCTAGAAATCTCAAACATAAAATATATGACGCAATTTTTGATTAATTCAGCGGAAGCTGAACTAGGTCAAAATAAATTTTGGGAATTTTTAAAACTTCGAAATAATCGCTCTGGAATACCATCAAAGTCTTAACCCGAGAGTCTCGAACAAAAAATGTACGGCGCACTTTTTGATTGGTCCAGCGGATGCTGAGCTACACTCAAAAATTTTTGGAAAAATTTTCTGAAAATTAAATTTACGAGATAATGTCTTGCGAGTAATTCCAAAAAATTGAGCAAAAAGTCTCGAACAAAAAATGTATGGCGCACTTTTTGATTGGTCCAGCGGATGCTGAGCTGCACTAAAAAATAATTTGGGAAAATTTTCAAAAAATTAAATTCGCTAGATAATCGTTCGGGAATACCGCCATAGTGATTAGAAGAAAGTTCTGAACAAAAAATGTATGGCGCACTTTTTGATTGGTCCAGCGGATGCTGAGCTACACTCAAAAATATTTTGGAAAAATTTCCGAAAAAATAAATTCGCGAGATAATCGCTCCGGAATACCACCAATAAAATAGGGAAAAAGTTTCGATCAAAAAATGTATAGCGCATTTTTTGATTGGTCCAGCGGATGCTGAGCTACACTCAAAAATATTTTTGAAAAATTTTCGAAAAAATAAATTCGCGAGATAATCGCTCCGGAATACCACCAATAAAATAGGGAAAAAGTTTCGAACAAAAAATGTATGGCGCACTTTTTGATTGGTCCAGCGGATGCTGAGCTACACTCAAAAATATTTTTGAAAAATTTTCGAAAAAATAAATTCGCGAGATAATCGCTCCGGAATACCACCAATAAAATAGGGAAAAAGTTTCGAACAAAAAATGTATGGCGCACTTTTTGATTGGTCCAGCGGATGCTGAGCTACACTCAAAAATATTTTTGAAAAATTTTCGAAAAAATAAATTCGCGAGATAATCGCTCCGGAATACCACCAATAAATTAGGGAAAAAGTTTCGAACAAAAAATGTATGACGCACTTTTTGATTGGTCCAGCGGATGCTCTACACTCGAAAATATTTTGGAAAAATTTTCGAAAAAATTAAATTCGCTAGATAATCGTTCGGGAATACCGCCATAGTGATTAGAAGAAAGTTCTGAACAAAAAATGTGTATGCGTGTGTATGGTAATAGTTGTTATGGAAACGGGTGCTATAGAAATGGTTGCTATGGAAACTGTTGTTATAGTAACGGTTGGTATAGAAATGGTTGCTATGGAAACTGTTGTTATAGTAACGGTTGCTATGGTAACAGTTGCTATTAAAACGGTTGCTATGATAACTGTTGTCATGGAAACAGTTGCTATGGTAACGGTTGCTATCGTAACCGTTGGTATGGTAACAGTTGCTATGGTAACAGTTGCTATGGTAACAGTTGTCATAGAAACGGTTGTCATAGAAACGGTTGCTATGGTAACGCTTGTTATGGTAACGGATGCCATGGAAACGGAAACGGAATTAAATGAAATTTTTGAATAATTAAATTTATTAAAATTAAATACAAAAGTATTGAAATATTTTTTAAATATTTGTAATTTTTTTTTTTTTTATAGTAATCATGTAATAATTTTTTAAAAATTAAAAACTAATTAATTAAATTTTTAAATTAATAGTTCGAGTTGCTACATAGGGGTGATTAATTAATTAATTTTTTTTTTAATTAACTGTATGTATTGTTTATAACATATTAACGTAAAT